TAAAAGCACTCCGCCTTCGGCGTCGTGCTTTCATCTGTTTCTCGGTGTTTGGAACCCCTGATGAAAAACTCGCACTCGTTTTTGATCTATTACATCAATAAAATAATGCAGATTTTCTTCAAGAGTTTGGAACTTTTGGCTTATATCAAAAGGTTGCAAGAGAGAATAAATGAAATAATATATTATACGTCCAAGTCAATCAGTGACTAAGTTAACTTTTATTTTAATCTTGTACATAAGGTGTAAATTTAACGTGGTTTTGACAAAGGTAGGTTTGAAATTGAAAGAGTTAGCCGGAAAAACATCACATTATTTATTAATTAACTTGATTACACGCTATCGACAAAATATGACATGATTTCTTTACTCTAGCTTTGTTAGGTTTGAAGTGGGTCGATATGTACATAAACTCGGAAAACTCATCAATGACCGTCCCAAATTAAATTGAGATTTTGCACAACATTATTCCCAAAATGAAGGAACTGTAAAGCTAACTTACCTAGGATTGTGCAAGTAGATATCTGCTGTAACTACACTCCACAGAAACGACAACAAAAGAAGAGAATTCATCTTTCTAAGCTCATGCACTAAGCTGGGCTGCGATATCACGGTCGGCTTTGCAGCAGAGGAACATTTCGAAATCACTTGTTTGCACCTCATGATAATAATACCATATATGGGCATCATTCCGGGATATGACATCATTACTAAACTGGGGGTGTTCCGTGACGCGCGAAAAAGAGAGATCTGATATTGATTTCTTTTGCACTTAAAAAGAAACTTTGCCATTACTTTTTCATTGTATCTGTAGAGCAAACTGTGCGTTATGGAAGGTCAATGAAAAGTGGAGAAATGGGTTTGATGGCGGTGGCGATTCAGCTGTCACGCAATCCATTGAAATGTTGTCATGCCGTCAAAATGGCGCGCGAGACACTTCGTTCAGTTTACTTGAATGACAATTCATATTTCAAAATGGCGGGGAAGAGTCCGTGAGGGTAATGCAGATATTATCTTGATCTTCATTTTCTAGGTAAATAATTCTTTTAATCTTGGTTATTAAAGTGTCTAAAAACATATACAAACAGCTAGAGAGGCTAAGATCCGAAGGTGTTAATATATGAAATTTATGCATCGGCTACGCTTGCATTGGGTGCAAGAAGAGTGCGCTAAGCAGAGCTAAGTAAGTCTACTTCTAATTATTAGAGTGTTTTTATTGGTTTTGTGTCCACTTTATCCTGCATTTATCCCTATATTTGAAGACTCGTTTTTACGGAAGTGTGCAAAAATGCTGACAAGTGCTATACTAGTCTGAAAGGATTTCTTAATTAGATTTTAATATTAATTTGATATTTGAGCTTACATCACCTCGTACTGTTACACTCTTTTATTTATTTATTTATTCATTTATCTATTTATTTAATTATTTAATTATTTTGTTATTTTTTTATATTATCAAGGTCTGTTATGGTTATTGTATGAAGACTGTTAACAATGATCAGACTCCTTGGCAGTTTGAACAATATGCAAGTCAGATGATAAAGGAAAAGCCGGTCCCATTTCACATTTCCCTCCTGGTGAGAACACAAAGCGCCTTTGCTAATATAACTATTGAGGTAGTTTCATGAATTTCCGTACCCACCCCAAAAAAGGAAGGACACCGCAACATCTGAGGGAGGGGAGAAGGGATTAAAAGCCAGAAGTTCAAAGAGGGGTGGAGAAGGGTTTAAAACCAATGCAAACCCTCCATACCAGGGTGCATTCTGCAAGACTTCCATATATGCCAAGGCTTTTTAAATTCCATGCTACGCACCTGGCAAGTGGCCAAAGTCCCATACCTAAGAATGCTGTTTTAATAATGCCAACGCATGCAGTTAGGAAAATTTGGTTCAAATAGATCGTAAGATGTCCATTATCAGCCAGGATATGGGGGATAAATAGAGCTAAAAGAAGCCATAGTTGTCACGCCAATTCGCGTTGTGTAGTAAAAGTATTTATATGCTAGCACCAGCAAATATAAATGTGCATGCTGCTATGAGCCAAAAACTCCTATTGTACGCCAGTACGCCGCAAAATCTGAAAGGTCAGGCCAAAGATCTTCAGTGTAACCAAGGTACACTGAATGCACCCTGGCTTCCATATCATGGGAGAGATTGGGATATATGTATCTCATAGAATAAGAAGTCAAACACTATCCAATGCAGTTTAAGTCAAAAAAGCAACTTGGTTTGGTAAACAAACACATCTGGACCAAAAAAAAATTGTTTATTTTTTATTGCAGTTGATTTCCAAATCTAATCAAACACAGTGAAACAATCTTAAAATTGTTGCCAATTTACCAAGTGTTTCAATAACAGCTGTCCATATCACATACAAATTGTAAACTGATGGGACAAGACCTACTAGAAAACTAAACTGTCTTGTCTCTGTCACACCGGTGTATTTAACATATCATAATACCTACATGTACATTTGAGGTATAATAATTATACAATAACTGTTGATCTGTTTTTACAGGCAGGAGGGGTTGCTGGAACTGCAGTTGATGTGATCTTGTTTCCATTTGACACTCTCAAGACAAGGCTACAGTCAGTGGAGGGTTTTGCTAAAGCAGGTGGATTCAGAGGGATCTACTCAGGAATCGCTTCTGCTGCCAGTGGGTCTGCACCTTCTGGTATGAAATAGCCTTCATGGCAAGTACTAAGTCAGGGGTAGGAGGAGGGGAATTTGGGCAAAAGTACTTTGAGCATATAGGTGGTGTGGTAGCTTTTATGATTAGTGCCTTAGTTGGGCTCTGGTTCATGCAGTCTAGGTTCTAGCTTTGGCCAGGGTAACTGTCCGGGGGTTGGGGGG